TGAGCCTCACTTAGCCGGTAGTAATACTCGTCCGGTGAGAAAGTTAGATGTGAGACTAGCGAACCCACCCCATAAAAATAATTCACCGCTACCTAAACTTGTGAGCTCAAGATAGAAGCCATATGTTTCACTCGGATTGTAAAATGAATGAAAAAAACTAAGCAAGTTGTTCAGCGAATCGCCACGAGAAGTCTAAGCAACCACACCCGACGAATTACTACCTATACCGGTATTTCGTCACTGGAACATCGGCATCGATTTACTGAATGTAATATTAAATCGAAATTCTGAATGTTATTTTTCTACAATTGTTATACACCCATTTCGTCTTCCCGGAATAAACCAGTCGACTGGACGAGTGTAATCTGATATGTAAATCAATGGGTTGTCTGAAAAGCTGACCAGTCAGAGTTATCTCGTAGACAGATAACCAGTGGATGTACCTTATTAACACCTTCGTCAATGGCATGGATGTACATTCTCTGGTACTTTGTTTCCCAAATATATATTGTTGTTTCCTTGTGTGTATGCGTTGGTGGCACAGTGGTTAGGACTCTCGCCGACCATGCACATGGTCCGGGGTTCGATCCCCTGCCGGCGCACACCCGGTATCTATGGTCGGCCTGAATTTGGGCTACCGATATCCACGCTGAAAGTTCCATACTTGTACTGAAAATACGGTGTGGAATCAAGCTGTAAATAAAAATAAAAATAAATAAACATACCTTTCTGTGTCGCCGTGTTGCTTTCAGTCAACTAGCAGGCTGGAGAATCAAGTGGCCGTTGTAAAGCATTGATTACTGACAAGCTATAATCTTGGTCACCGCATCCGTCGCCACCCCGGCGTCCCTACCAAATTTTACCGAGTCATTTTATTTTATGTGGGCAGTCCTGCGGGAAATTCACACATCTCCATCCACTGCTTGAGTTGCTATCGTAGTAAATGTCATGTTGCGCATCCTAAATTATCACACAGCCAGGTTATTTGTGTCTGCTGCTGGAAATCGTCAGAGAAGCACATTTTAGCAGCCGAAATCGAAAGCCACTGGTTGTATTCTCATATGGTATTTTTATCTCCCACCAGCAATGATTTCTAAAATATGAGTGGTGTCCAGGTTAGTCTAAAGAGGAATCCCTTGATCCGATCCGCCTTATTCTTTCCGGAGGTGTAAGCGAAGCCTCATTCCGAAAATGTTATCACTCCATCACATTAGCTGAACCTTCACACAAACAAAGTTAGAGGTTATGGATGCCGGGCAATTTCTTGGTAGATTTGCCCGGTCCGAAGTACTAATTCCGAGAGTATTCACACACTTATATTAAAAGGTGTATTCCATGCGAGCGAGGGGTGGACTATTTACAAATATACCAATAATGCAAAAGGTATTATGGAACCAGACTATGCAACAACCTGAGCCGAGAACTGGGCACTTATCGGTGTAGTGAAGTATGACTTATAGTTTACATGACTATAACATGGAGCCCTTATATATGCAGTTAACATCCTGTTTGGTACACTATCAAGCTAGTTACATATCATGCACCAACGACAAGCGAGGAAAGTGACTGCGTGTTGAGAGGAATACTAAAAATGTCTTGAAACCAAGATTATTATTATTATAGGAGTCCTGATCTGCACGCACATGGTGCACTGGCGGTTGTTATTTTGACGGAGATCTCTCTATCACCCAGTGTCGAATGTACATCACTGTATCGAAATGGTGGAAGAAAGGAGGCGGAGCGTCATTTTACGTTAACACCTGCCGAACTTCAGGGACCAGTCTGGTGTTGCATGTCTGTTGAAAGTACCCGATACGTGGTTAGAGGTGCTTACCTGTCGCCAACATGCTGTGTGAAAAGCAGGCAGAAAATGTTCGAAACAGACCTCACAGTGTCATTCATAGGATATAACCAGGTCATTATTTCTGGTGACTTCAGTACACAAAAACACAGTATCAGTGAAATTATTACCTACAGAGGATGTAGTGCTGTTGAATATTATCACAGTGACTAGAAAACAGGAAACCAACAAAAGCGACACACATTGGGATTAGGGTAGGGAAATATCCAGTTTAGACTACTGGAACATCTGCTCATGAAGAACATTCGATTAGAACTCCTGATAGAGAGCGGAGACCAAGCATTTGTAAAATAAATATATTTAGCTGGTGACAGAAGCACTGTAGTTAGCGACCTGACTGCGAAACTATCCATTGAGAATTGGGAGTTGACGGAAACAGTTATCAGGAAGGCCACAGACGGCTTTGTCCATGGGATTATGTTAACCCCTGAAACAGAATACACTTGATAGTAAGAGGCATACAGAATCTCGTCCGGCAGAAACAAGGGAATGGAACATTTGGGACTCCTGGGGAGGGGGCCAGATCAGACCGCTTATGTTTCTTTAAAACACCGGTGAAATACTTAAGTTCAAGGGGATTAGAGAACATCTAAGAAACTGCTGATCCACTCCAAGTATCTGTTTTAATTCACCGTCCAGAGGAAAGGCGCTAGCCAAGCATTATGTGTACTCAGGAACCAGAGTAAAAAAATTGAATAACCTCGAGACAGGTGAGGCATTCAATGACTCATTCAGATGACAGCTGAACAACTAGAATACCGATGGAGAAAGCACAACATGGCAACCCGAGGTGAATACTGATGCTGCAGAGATAACTACCTCCCAAATAACAGCCAGCACGGTACTGGAGAAGCTGACAAAGCCTCTTCCAGGAAAATTCCCAGGATATGATGACATCCAGCCAGTGGTTCCCAGTCAGCATGCTGGAACTTAGTGACCTCTACTGAGTAAGTTGTCAAGCACACATTGGACAGATGTTCAAATCAGAGAAATCAGAAATTGGTGATCCTTCCGTTCATTTTTAAATGAAGGTTTGGATAAAACCCAAAGTGATATATACCGGTAGCTACACTGCCGATAATGCGGAAGGTGATGCAAGGTGTGCAGTAGTGTTATCTCATAGGACATCCATACGAAGCTCAAAAGAGTGCAGGAAGAGGCAGTCCTGCTACGGGAGCTCCCAGAACTGGTAATTGGCGATGCACTACCTGCATGAACTGTAGTCTACCAGGAAGGCAGAGCATTTTGTACTAACCTAAGCTGAGTATGTCCCACTTGGAGAAAGGTAGCTGCTGGGTGCAAATTTAGTTCTGCTATTTCTGATTTCTATAAACTGTCTTCCAACAACTTAAGCTTTATATCGCTACTACACAAGGACCATGAAAAGGTGTAGAGGACTCTTAGCAACAGCGACAACTCAAGGAAGCTTCAGGAAGATCTGGACAACTGGAGAATTGTGTCATGAGTCATTTCTCAACACTGACAAACTCACGGCGACGTTCATCCGCACTCCAGCAAAACAAAGGTCCCCATGCTTTGTATATGGAGGTGCCCTCTGTATTCCGAGGCAGAATATGATTTTGGTTTACCTCTGACAGATACATTAGACACAGGTGCTATCTATGCAGCAGATGCAGCCAAAGCCATTAAAGCAACCATTTCATTCGTAGGCAGTTTGCAGCACTTACACCTGGACTCCTTATGCAGTTATACAAAAAATTCCTGATTACAAATTCGAGTTTTCGCAAAGTAATTACACATCCACTCTTATAAAGAGATGCGAATCTCTTAGTAAGAGTACAAAGGAGGGCTACTAAAACTACTATGGGACTGAAATATCAGACTTATTGTGATCGATTACGAAGGTCGGGATCAGTATGATATCAGCTACTAAAGAACGGGGATCGACTTTCTCACTGTATACAATATGGTATGCACCCCGGTGAATTCATTCAGAAAATTATCACCGGACGAAAAGTATGGTATTTATATACACAATCCTGATAGAATTGCTCATAAAAGAGTAGCAACAAAGGTGATGTCCAACCTACTCCTCTATAGAGGATAACACCAGTGAAGTTCACTCACCGCCGACATGGCAATTTTACCACCAGTCAGCTGATTCAAAAGAATGCTAGACTATCATGGAAAAACAAAGTTACGTTTGAATTTATAGAATAGTTCTAGGAAGCTGGACCGGAGAAACGAATATCGCGATTACGATAACATGTCTTTACATACTTCAATATTTCACTATAATTTTCATTAATTCATCTATCCTCTCCAGTCTCGTTCTGCTTTTTCTTTGACTTCTGTGTGCATGCACTTCTGCCATCCTGTTTTTCTTGCACGCAATACCCTTGCGCTGCCTTCTATTTGTTTCGCCTTTCCACTCCCTAAATTTCCTCTTAAATTGCAAATTATCCCATTCTCTAGGATGTTTGGAGGTCTTACCAGAAGACTGCCTGGTGTAGCGAAGTTTACAAGCCACATCAGTGCCACTACCTTGGTGCTAATCATACATTCCCTCCTCATCGAGTCGAACAAAGCTATTACGGTCAATTGGACATATTGTGCTGGAATATGCCAAGGACCTTTAGAGGCTGACGGTATCGGCGTTCGCGGATTGTACGGAGTATACTAACGCAAGATCGAATACCAACAACTCCCATAGTATTCGTTCCTTGCGGACCAAAGGCAAAGCAAAAGACAGTATTTGATCGTCCAAACTACGAGATATATTTCGGGACCAAATCGTGGACTGAGGTGAATGCTTAGCTGGCTAGTGATCGTGCACGAACGTGACACGACGGAGTACCAAATGGCGTGGATGCTTCACCGGAAGCCTTCAGCTAAGCAAGTCGACTTAAACAGTGAGGGTGTCAGCATCCAATGTTCAGTGATGATTGCTGTGGTGAATAATTTTGGGGAATTATTTACCGCTACAGCTCTAAAACCATTCAGAAACAGCATGTAGTCATCACCAAATCATAATGTTTGTATAAGCCTACCGAAACTATATTGCATATAATCTTTGCGCTGAAGTTCATTCCTGTTCATCTGGGCATATGTGATAAAGAATGTACTCGAGAACACATAAAATGTCACTGTTTTGCACTTCACAGTCTGTCAACAAACTGACCAATCAAAAGTTGCGTAAAGTTCCAGTCATTTGACCGACAGCTAAAGTGAGAGGGAATTTTGAAATCTAGGTCACTCTCTGTTATTCACCTTGAGTTTTCTAAATATCTCTGTTGCTGGTCGGCGTGTGATTGAATATCCTGTGTCATTTCTATGGAAGAATTTCAGAAAACATTTAGTCAGTTTCAAGATGGTTGGCTGGAATTACAAGTAAGTACCTTGTGTTTGATAATTTTCTTAGCAAAAGCACTCTTCTTTGGTTATTTCATCATATAAGCTTAAGGAAGAAGAAACAAATTGTGTTCAAAGTGTTAAGCATTGTCGAACATATATGAAACACTTGAAGAATGAAATAAATCGGTAAATCTAGTTTAAATCTAAGTCTTGTAGTCTCAGTAAGAATGCTAAAGGTGATGAAATATCTCTTCTTGAGAAGGCTAGATTAGATATCTTGAAAAAGGAATATTTATTACGAGACATTGAAGATGTTTTACCTCGGGCACCTGGGTAAGTCCTCTCTTTAGTTGTTGTCAATATGATAGTTTGTACTTACGCATTGTACTGGGAGCTTTAAATATATCATTTGCCAACAAGGAAGACAAGTAATTAATATTTTCTGTTAACTCGTCCAGATTTAGATACAAAAACGATTACGAGCAGTTTAAAATTATTCTTTCAGGAATTTGTGCAGTCTTTGCATTCATCCTTTATTTTTTCATCCAAAACAGGTGAGTTTTTCGTCTACAAACCTTTTGATGTTGCAGTTTAAACTTTTATAAAATTGGTACTCATTCATTGTGCTATTTGAAACTCTTACCTAGTGGTTTAGGGCTATATTTAGCATTTGAAATTATCACCGCAAAATTGTCGGCTGAATGACTGTGAATGCACTATTTATAAGGTTTGAACACTGGTGTGTCTATATTGTTGAAATAAAAAACTCCCATTCACCGTTCCTAATACTTTCGCTTTTGTATATTTTCTCATCTTGTGAACGTAAGACCATCTTGGTGACTTTTACGGGATTAAGTGAAGTTATTAGCAGTCTTATGGGTCCCGTTGGGTTGTAATGTGGTACATCGGATTTCATGTCAAGACCTACATTGGTTAGATTCACAATTTGCAATGTACACAGTTCGGGGAATGAAATTTCACCATAGTTTTGACTTCTGAAACGCTTGAAAAACTGGATTACTTTATTCACTGTATTTCTGGCTAATCAGTACACCGATATTATGTAATCTAAATATTGTCGTTGGGGCTTATTATAGGCAGTCAAAGAAATGTTAATGTATTGCTCAATTGGAGTTTTGGATTCCGATATTTATCAGACAGGTGCTGCTTAATGACACGAAACAGACACTTCGAAGAACTGTTATTGCTTGTACGATAGTTCTGCAGTCTCTAGAGACCTCTTAAAACTTGTAAAGAAGGTTTCGTGAAATTCCAGTTGTTTTAAGTGACAGGAAAATTGGGAAAAATGCAGTTTTGTATCTGTCGAAATTTCAGCATTCCTAACATAAATATAAGTATAAAACTTGGCCACTGTGGTAGAGTATAACTCCATTATGGATAAGATTTTATTTTGATAAATCACAGTGTTATACAGTAATATAATGGAGTTATTCCTAACATAGGTTTTTAGATAATCATATCCTTTTTTATGTTTGCATTTTATCGTACTAATTATTTAAGTGACAAAAGGTATCTTGGCTCCCTTAACTATGAAGCTATTGGTCATCCAAACGTTATTAAGAAGCAGTTGATAAATTATTTGGGAACATCCTTGAGAGTATTTAGGAATATGTAGTACATGACTCGTGTCTTTTTTCCTCTGTTAATTGGAAACCGGTAGTGTTTTGGCTGCCTCAAACTCTTTGGAAATCATGTACCCATAGGCTTTTGATCTGAAAGTCGGTGATATAGAAACCCAAGACGTAGTTTCACAGTTAAGTCACCTACCTAAGAGAACGCAACCAGGTCAAAATCATCCACTTGGGCCACAAATCTTCTGCATTATCTCGTCTAAAATGCTTTGCGACTTATTGAAATTTCATTATATCTCGGAATACAGAATACTTCAACCTATTCATCCAAAATGCCTACATGATAACATTAAAAGCCCTCTTGAAATTATTATTTATTATTATTATTGTATCCTTTAATTCCTACAGGAACATAGGGCTTCAGCCGTGCGTCTCCATTGCGTTCTGTTCTCTGCTAGAGTCTTCACCTGGCTCCAGGTCTGCCCACATGTTTTCATCTCCTCTTCACATGACCTCCTCCCGCTTGAAATAACTGTTAGGAAATGCTCAGTTTATGTTTATAAGTAAAAAACAGAAATGAAAGTATGGGACTTAGTCTTAACTTGTTCCATCTGCCTTCGTAAATTTAATAATCCTCTTAGCCACTAAGACGTCTATTGCCTAACTAGTTTACTTCTAATCATTTTTATGCTTTAGATTGGTTTTCACAAAAATTTCATTAATCAGATATAACATTATTGCATCTCCTAGTTATGAAGTTGACTGTCCTCATATGCATTAATATTAATTTACTTGATATAATTGTTAATTTGTGTACTTTATTTTCAGAATTGTAGATACTCTTTTCCATTTTCTCTTGGTATGGTATTATTGCACATTAACCATTCGTGAGCGTATCCTTATTGCTAATGGATCACGAATCAAGGGATGGTGGAATATTTCCCATTTCATGTCAACAGTAAATTCTGGTATTATGCTTATTTGGTAAGTTGTAGTCTGATTGGTCATCGTATCAAGTAAATTTTTTTTCCATACAGTTTTTCCCTTTGATCTATTTTGACTTGAAGTTGCACTGTGTATGTATTAGACATAGTTCTGCCTTAAATAATTAACCTGAAATATGTTTTGTATGAGCTAATGATACACTTGATGATTTAAATCTCAACAGGTATCCAGTTTTATTTGTGATAGAATCAAATTAGAAAGAAAGCAAGAGACGGTCAAGTTGAGGTGTGATACTGACCCTCAGTATCATTGTTGTCTCTGATGGTTTGAGTCTCGGCGGATAAGGAACATAATCACCTGACTGGTCCCAATGCTACCAAACTGAGATCTACGAATCACAGAACGTGTAGGAGGCTTACATCAGATTACAAGTGTGACGGCTATTTCCTCACTAGGCAGCTAACACGTTCCCTGATTGATGGATTTCAGCTTGTTGATATCATAGCCAATCAGCTGATTGTGGTCTTTATCCTCTGCTGAGTCTCAGAAGAATGCATCACCCAGTTACAGATCAACCGCCAGAAAATTTCCAATGACATGACTACAAGTCAACAAAGCGTCAGTACAAATGTATTCATCTGTCAACATTTTACTCCTCGTTGTCCTGGGGCAACCTTTCTTTATTGAAAAAAGATGATGCAAGCAGCTAATCTAAGAGCTTTTTTTGACTGGTGTACCTTATTCGCTTAATGAGCCACATAAGTAACTTATTGTCGGTTCCTTTCAGGTGTAAAGTGTTTGGTCAAGATTTCGAGTTATTACTGCCTCAAATAATCCTGTTTATGTGAAGTTTACAGACACAGAATACATCTTACTAGTACCTTACGAGTTCGAGTTATGAGGTTATATCCCAATCAAATTAAAGGATATCGAGACTAAAGCGCGTATACCTGAAAAATCCCTCCCAAATGAGATTAGACTCCAAATAGTTTTAATCTGCTGTTCTGATCTACATAATTCATGCATTTTAGCTTGTTTGTTTTTTTCACTGCATTTTCCATTGTTTGGTTGAATTCAAGGGTCACTGTTGGTTTTTTAACAAGTGAATTACGAGTAGTTTGTGTGTTAACTCATGTGAAATTATTATTATTATTATTATGGTTAAGAGTTGAACTTGAGTACTTGTTAATTGTTTAAAAAAAATCTACTCACATGTACTAGCTAATAGGTTGTTTATTTTCGTGGTATCTTTCGTTGTGTTATCTACTCTAGGCCTAGATCTCATTCATATGATGAATATCGTGACCAGTTTATGCTATTTGCCTTGTATTTAAGTAAGTTTTGTTTTGCTTACTTTATTTTATCTTATAACTTATTGTCACTATACACTGTCAAAACCCTACCTCTGAATTATTTTAAAGTTAATTCTGTAATGTGCATCGTTGAGTGATCCAAACCACACGTGGTCCTGAGTTCGATTCCTGACCGGCTTACTACTTTACCTCGCTAAGCCGGCAGTAATCTCAGTAAAGAGGGGGGGGGTTAATGTGAGGCTAGCAACCCCACCTTGTGGAAATAAAACAACTGCTAAAGAGAATTCAAAGCTTAAGCTTGAAGCCTTATGTTTCAGTTGGAAAGCAAAGGAATAAAATTTTGAAGGAAAATTAATTCTCTCATTGAAACTCACGCATACTGTCACTGTATTGTGACTTGACTTACGACTGGTACGCGCACACACACACACAAGTAAAGGTAGGAACTCTTCAGTTATGTATTATTGATTGTAAGTAGAAATACCAGAATAATAATTTATCGTATCTGTGATTGATTTGATGGCTCATGAACTAGGCTTTTCAGCAAAATAATTCACCAGATCCAAAAATTACCCATTTTACAGTGTCTAGATAGATAGTTAGTTGGTATAATTAAATTCCGCACATATTTTTTTGGCATGTTTTTAATTTCATATGATCTCTCATTCTGCGTATTTGATTTGCACTTGTAAACAGAATGCTTGTTATTACCATCATCATCATCATCGATATTGTGATCCAATTTCTTTGAATATCAATGTGATTCAAATCATACTTGGATCATATGATCAGTCAAATCTATCAACGATATGCTTACTTCAGTCAGTATACACTTTTCATATTCTACAATTGCAATTAAAGAATATCATATATCAAGGGCATTATTCTGTATATATATATATATATATATATATGAGTGGAGGGGGGGACAAATAACTGATGATACTAGCAAGTTGTTCAGGTTAGGGCAAGAAAAGGATGATTCCAACATTTAATACCTACACTGTCTAGGGAAAACAAATGCTACAGAGCTAATGATTCACAACGCCTCCCACAAATCTATTTAAGTTGATGGCAACTTTAATGTGTATTCGCGCTTAGGTTTTCATTACTCTTCACCAGCTAGTAAGCGCTTCATCTACTTTGAGGACTAGTGGAGGGAGATCTCCCACATCGCATGTTTTGTACATTCAAGATGTTCTAAGAAATTTAGAGTTCCTGGCAATCAAACTAGATTTGTTTTTATGGGTTAACTCATAAAAACAAATCTAGTCCTTACAAACCAACTCTTGGAAATTAATGTGATGCCCGCTAGTGACTTGCTACAGGACGGAGTTTCCTGGAAATCTAGTGAGAAGTCGTGACCAGTCAAGTGTGTGAGGATGGATGTCCCGCCGATGACATTGGTTGGTGGTCGCGCTAAATCACGAATTGGTAGAAGTTAGAATTCATGGGTCATTGGATCAGGTCCCAATGGCTGAATGGTCTACGAGCTTACCTTGTACCCGGAAAGTCGTGGGTTTGAACCCCGGCAGTTGGTGCGTACTGTCGATGATTCCCAAACTAGGGTGAAGCAGCTGTCCAGTACTCCCTGGTTTTCAATGGCTCTCTAACTGATATCAACCCGTGGTCAAACTCGTAAAAATCAAACTATTGTCTGAAATTTCGATGTACTGAACCAAATAGATAATTATGGCAAATTTTTTATTGTAACTTAAACTTAACTTTGATTTCAGAGATCCAATCAGTTAGTACGGTTGCTCCTAGTGTTTACTGTAGTAAAATAGTCCCTTGTAGAATGATACATCCTCAGGTAACTGTTGTAATAGTTTTGAGAAGGTACAGTGAAACAAGACTCTTGGGTGGATAACATTCTAAGTCATATACAGCTGTACTGAAAATGGTTATCTGGTCTCGAAATCTGTTAGTGTTCATTGTAAATAGTGAACATATCATTTCATAGATTAAGCGTCGGTGGCACAGTGGTAGAATGCTCACCAACCACGCAGGTGGTTCGGGGTTCGATCTCCGACGCACTCCTATACCTCGCTAAGCCTGTAATAAGACTAGTAAAGAGGGAAGGTTGGGCATGAGGCTAGCAACCCTATCCCCTAAAAATAAATACCACTGCTACTGAAACTTCATGCCTCTGGCTTGAAGCCCTATGTTCCACTGGGGACGTAAAGGAATAAAAATTTTTAAAAATCATTTCATAGATTAACGTATATATTAAGCAGGCGAATTTCATATACTCTTGAGGTGTGTATAATCTTCTCATACCCTCCAGTTCATCATATAGTGTAATTACCTAAAGGAGAGGTATTCAGTGTATCATTTAAGCTACTGTGTGGTTATCTAAAGTGTATTCCGTGTTCACTTCAAATCTTTTCTAAAAACTATGCTGGTCTGTTCTCCTTTTTTTAGATCTTGTTCATTTCATACAATATCAATATCAAATAAGTTGTCTCTACAAACTGCGTACTCTAGGATGTCGACATCCAATGGATATAACTGTTGGTAAATTACCTATTGTTTTATTTGGGATTTTCTTTTTTTGTTTTGTTTGGATTATGTGTTTACTATGCTCCTTTGTTGTTTTACTGCAGTAATCTACTCATCACTAAGATAATGTCGATTAGTTTTATTAAAGATAAAGATTACACCAATTCATTTTACAGACGCACTCTCTTCTAGTATTTTCTTCTAATTGACTAAGTACGAACATAGAACTTGGAACAGAGGTGCAGTAGTTCAAGTTCCCACACTCCATGTAACACACAAAGGCAGAAAAAGAAGAGATTCAAAAGAACTTTAATCAGCAGAAAGGTGAGAGAGAAAGAGAAAGAATGGTAGCATGCAAAAAACATGACAGTTTAATAGTTATGGGAGATCATAAGAAGTAAATGCGTTTGCACCATTGACAACGATTTTGAGCCATATAACCAAAGTCATTGGTTCTTAGTGTTCTGAGGACCCCAACTACCAGGCAGCCTGCACACCTTCCTACATGGCTCAAATCACCTGTCAAGGCCATTAGCAATCCCAATTAATCCTATCTTGTATAGAAAGACGTGTTGTTGTAAATGAATGTTAAAAGCGTATAATCCCATACCCTACACTCAACTTCTGCATTATTCACGTAATAGTATCACTGTTTACGAGAAATATTTCAGGGATCAATTGTAGCAACCGAAACTAACGTGTTTTGGTTTGAACACTGGAAACCAATCTTCACGTTCTGTTGTATGGCTAACCAAAACATCCTCGAGTGACTCATAGTCCCAAAGTGTCCTGACAATAGCAAAAAGACAGTTCTGTCTGTCTGTTTTCGACATAGAACTTTGCACCGATGTGCGGCAGTTCAAGTCGCCACATTCCATGTAGCACACAAAGCAAGAGAAGAAATGAATAATATAGACAGTAAACAGAGGTGTGAGACAAAGGAATAGTAATAACGAAGAACAATATGGTTTGATTGGAAATTGTAAGTCACAAGGAGTGGATGCATCTGCGCCACTGAGAACGATTTTAAGCCATATCACCAATTGTTTCCAACCATTGGTTTTTACCGTTCCGAGGACGCCAACCAGGAAGTCTACATCTTCCTACGTGGCTTAGACTAACTGTTGTAGATTTCATTGACTGGTGCCATGTTTTGGTTTGACCGCCGCTAGCTCTTTTCCAGCCCGACCCTATGTCAGCTAACATTGCCCATCGAGGAAGGCGATGACTAGGCCTACGTAGCACATATCCTGACCATATCAGTCGATGCAGTTTCACAGCCTCGTCGATTGATTTCCCCTCCTTACCTAACACTCGACGCCTAACCTCAATATTGCTCACCTTATTATACCACCGCCTCACACGGGAGATAGGACGTAAGCACCTATGATCAAAGACAGCTAGCCTTTTCACGTCTTCCACTCTCAATGGCCAGGTTTCAGCCATATAAAAAGACAGTTATTTGCGATAAAATCTGTGGTACTATTACGTAATAACAGTAACAACATGTCACACCAAAGTCAACTGTAAGAAGTACCCAAGAATCAAGAAGGACGTCCCTAAGAGGGTAGGATCAAAATTCTGTCAGCAATAATCATGCACCTATCACTTCTCGCGTACTACAGTTCAAGGTCAGAATGACCTTGACTTCATCAAAACAAAATCCCAGTCATAAAACAACACTTTATTAATATCATCTCACAACCACATCACAAAGAGAAGCATTAACAATTAGGGACTAAACAGGGACAATGACAAATAATAAGGATTAAGTCAGTAGGTGTGATATGCAAGTGTCAGGACGATGAATGATACACAGTCTTGAAGAAAAGAGGCTAATAATTACAAAGGTAGCTGGAATGTATGAATAAGTAGCGATATTGTAATTGGATTATTCAGAAGGAATTTTCGAAACAATTATTCCCTTAGAGCAATAATAGTTGAATACTTAAGATTTTCACATATCTTATATTTTTTTTGATAATTATATTGGATAGTTAGTTACATTTAGTGATACAAACCATACTGCTATATGCTGCATTCATTAAGATGTACAAGTCTATTGAATCGAGATAAAATCAGATAAAAATTGTAGAGATTGACGCACAGTACTACACACTTCATCCTCATTAATGCTCTATGATGTTGCAATAGTCTGTTTTCCGATCGTTTGCCACTTATTTTCTCTTCTGTTCACTTGTAAATATTACAAGCATTATGATCTGTTTTATATCCTCAATTTCAATATTTTATTTAAGGTTTTACCACAGATTGATATGAGTCAGAGAAGTAATGAAAACCAGGGAGTACATGATAGCCGGTACGCAAACACAGGGGTTCGAACCCAGGATCTCCCGGTTATAAGGCAAGCTCGTAAACCATTCAGCCACTGGGACCCGATTCAGTGGCCAGTCCATGAATTCTAACTTCTTACAATTCGTGATTTTAGCGTGACCGCCAACTAGTGTCATCGGAGAGTATCGGTTCTCACTTCCGACCGGGTTAATCCCAGTGGGTGCGTACTGCCGATGAGTCTCAAACTAGGGTGAAACAGCTGTTCAGTACTCCCTGGTTTTCAATGGTTTTCTGACTGATATCAATCCGTGGTCAAACTCGTAAAAACAAATCAAATCCCTATAGAGACTAACTCTTGAAAATGCAATGTTTCAATTGTAATCTGTTGTTGTGCGTTAACTTATATCGTTGTGTTGGCTTGACGCGTCACCAACTCAAATAGGTTTAAGTACCTGTAGACAGCTTAACGTATGTTGCAACCCAGAACCAAACACCAGGCGATAAAGACTTCTCACTTTTCTCCCTTATGTTGTATTTTGTTGTGGAAGTTATTTGAGGAATAACGTTTTTTATTTTTTTTAAATAAATTCTTTTTCCAGATGGTTTCATGTCGTGGATGTTTCGTCGAATAACATTCATCCTACCCTTCTTATTTGGTGTTTATGGTTTTGAATTGTATATGTCATATAACCTTTATATGATATCCCAGCAAGATTATTGTCATGAATGGCAGGTAAGATTTTGTCTTTTTTCCTTTTGAAAGTGTAAAGAATATATATACATATATAATGCATTTTTCGATAGAGAAAGAAAGACCAGATTTGCAGTGTAAAATCATGCCATCATTCTATTTCACAGGTTCTCATCAGCTAACTGCAAACTACCTGAAGTTACAATGGTTATAAATAATAACATTTCATACTTCAATGTTTGAAAGGTAATAGAGAAAACATTATAAGATGAACGCATCCCGAATATAAGCAGCATTACAATTTTTAGTTTAAGTTACCATCAATGTATGTGCTATCAAACTATGAAAAAAAGAGGGTGGTGATAGAAGACAGAAAACAGAAAAATCTAATAAACAGTATTAGCCTGTACGTCAACATGGCAACTCAAGAAGGTTAAAGTCGATTCGGGTCATTTTGTCGAGATTTCCATATCCTTCAAAATATTAAACACACAAAGGACAGCGAATCTACTACGATTTGCTCAAGCAATTGCAATCAAACGTCTCAGACCAAACTTATGCACACAGAAAGGGAGTGTAGTCAATCTCTCACTCCTTTGGTAACCATATCACTTTCATTATACTGATTACTCATATACACTAGTGAGGTCAACTCACTAAGCAAGTTTTCAAACTGATGAACTTTGACCTTCTTGAGTTGCCATGTAGACGTACAAGCTAACAATGTTGATTAGATTTTTCTGTCTTCTATCACCACCCTCTTTTTTTCATAGTTTGATAGCATATACATTGATGGTAACTTAAACTAAAAATTGTAATGCTGTTATATTCGGGATGTGTTCATTTTATAATGTTTTCTCTATTACCTTTCAAACATTGAAGTATAAGATGTTATTATTTATAACCACTGTAATTTCAGGTAGTTTGCAGTTAGCTGATGAGAACCTGTGAAATAGAATGATGGCATGATTTTAACTGTAAATCCGGTTTTTCTTTCTCTATCGAAATTTATCAAGGAAACCAAATGTAATGCATTTTTGTTGGCTGCAAACGAGAGTGACGTTCATACATAAGGGGAATGCCCTTTCGTTTGCTAAAGTTACCGAAAAATAAATACTGACGACTGTTACGCACTAATTTGTAGAGCTATGGTTCGTCACTCGAAGCGCCTGACTACTAACTAATAATCAACAAGTTTGAACCCCTCTCCCTCCGATAGAGGTTTAGGCAACCAAGTAGTATTATTAACCCTCATACAGTAGGTGTGTCAAGCTTCCAACTCCACGGAATTGCAAATAGGTGTTGAGTGGCATTTATTTCACACATTAATGTAGTAACACTTTAGGAAGAGATCATTGTGTATTATAAGAGTCATTAAAAATAATAGTTCAAGTCAATGAAGTGGTAAAACACTGTGAAAAAAAACTAGACTTTACTGAGCTCAGATGCGACATCTGCCTACTAGTTGCCCAGTGTTTTACAACTTTTATGGACTAAAGAAGATTAGTAACTCTTTTTTCGTATTCTTTCGCGCTTCCAATGGAACAGGGCTTCAAGCTTGATCTTTGAAGTTTCAGTAGCATTGGTTTTATTTTTACGGAGTGGGATTGCTAATCTCACACTCAAACTTCCCTTTTTGTCGGGCTTACAACCAGCTAAGGGGAGGTAAGGGTGTGCGTCGGCCGGGGATCGAACCAAGGGCCACGTCCACGTGATCGGCTAGCATTATACCTCTGAACCAACAACGCACACTAACTCTTTATATCACCTAAAACATTTTTAGTTTTAGTGATTCAAGTTACTTGTCTTTTTTCTCTACAAACGAAGTGTCAGTACACTTTTCTACAAGTAGTTTTCCTTTTCACTGTCTATAGAGGCAAGTGTGATTCATTTGAAGTATTGCTCTACTTCTTAACAATCAGTGTTTTCCCTGGTAACGATCCATTTTTTTATTAGAGTGTTTCTGAAGAATTCCAATGCCTTAGTCAATGTATCTTCGGTGCATATGCTATAGAGATTCTCATTGTAAATAGAGGTGATGACAAAACTGTGGAAGCTTTCGCCAACTGTCCCTTCCACTTTAGCTTGGGGTAAAGTGATATTTTTAGAGTTCCATTTGTTCCTCTTGAAAGCTGGACGGATATCTAACGAGGATAATTTACCTTATGATACTACTTCAATATCAAATTCGGCTTATTGACGAGCGCTGTTAAAGATTCACAGGATTTCACTTACCTCAGTGCTATAGATAATGATGAAGACATCATCTGTCTATGTACCGTTGAGTGCCGGAAACAGTTGAGCCAAAGTTTTATTTTGCTTTGCCACATAGGGTTTGAAGCTCTGAGACTTCAGTAGTGGTGATGTTGTTACTTTTGCAGGAGTAGGGTTGTTAGTCTCATGCGCACAACCTTTCCTCTTTACTGGGATTACTACGGCTAAGCGAGGCTAAGGAGTGCGTTAGTTGGGAGTCGAACCCGGGCCGCTTGTGTGTGTGATTAGTCAGCATTATTCTATCACTTAACCAATGACACACTCAGTCATTACTATAGCCTAATCAAATTACAGACTTCTGGATTCTTTTTTATCCTTCACGTACCCCAGTGGAACATAGGGCTTCAAGCTAGAGGCTTGAAGTTTCTGTAGCAGTGGTGATTATTTTTTACAGGATGGGGTTGCTAGCCTAATGCCCAACTTTGCCTCTTTGCTGGCCGGGGATCGAACTCTGAACCACATGCGTGGTCGGTGAGCACTCTGCCTGTGTGCCACCGACGCATTGGAGGGGGCACCCGGGCATGAACCGGGGACCTCTCGATATTGCAGTCGAATGCTCTACCACTGAGCTATACCCCCCAGTGCATTATTTTCGTGTACAGTTTATCGCCTGATGCTTTAATCTTTGTGCTTGTTATTATTTTTTAAAATCATACATCCACAATAGTTGTTTGTATAAAAAAATATGACTATAAAACGTATTCAACTGACTGGATAATTGTATTACTGTATTCTTTTCTTCTCTTTTAAAGGTACTTGCAGTCTCAATGATGTACTTTGTACTAGCAATGGGTAGTATTGTAACAGTGTTACAAGTAATCCGTCAAAAGATATGCGCCCCACCGCCTATTGTATTACATGATCATCTAACGAAAAAGTATAGTTTTGCTAGACCATCAGAAAAGTTTACGCCAAACAATAATAAACATGAAGATGAGGATAAAAATGAAATTGATAAAAAGATTTCATAATCTGTTTATTATCTTATCCTATACACAATGATGGTAATTATCGCCTTTCCTCTCCTCTCCTCTTCTCTCCACCGCACTTTGAACAGAATGAACTTTGTAGTTGAAATAGTCATTTGAAAGGTTATAAATGTGTGTGAGTGTGTGGGTGTCCCTCTTCTATTTTTTACTCCAAAAATGATGCATTTCTGTGTGTGTGTGTACGTGTTTACTCCTTTGAAAATTGATTTCTTCTTTCCAAGCGGTAACAATTTTGATTTCAACATCTTCAATGTGCATACAAATCAAACCAGTCTCAGTTTTGCTATACATATACACGTATAAGGTCCACCTTGTTGGACGGGGGGGGGGTAATGTAAACCAATTGTTACATAATTATAGTATATACTGTGCTATATTGTGTATATTATGATTATTATTATTATTACTGTTATTATTTATTATTTGTGACCTAGATAATACAGAACACTTTGTACTTTAACAATATGTTATTCATCAAGATGTCATTTTTATTTTTGATGATATCACCATTCATTAGTGTGTGCGTGTGCGTATTTATTATACAGATATATATATATATATATACATATATATATATATACATATATATATATATATATATATATATATATATATAATCGTGTATTCTATCTACCGCCTTCCTTCTTTTACCATAGTATCCTAGTATCTATCTGTCTATCTACCATATTGTGTGATGAGTAGTATTCGTGTACAGGTTGTGTTCTCCTATATATTCCATTTTTTGTGTGTTTTGTTTTGCCTATTTAGCATTTCTAATTAATTTTTTGTTATGATATGAATAATGATCCAATATAAGTTTGATATTTATCACCTCAGTGTACAGTTTGTTGTTAAAGGGTGTATAATATGGGTATGATGGGTAATGTGAATGTAGAGTGCTACTCAGGGAGGATAAGATTGCTGGGATACGTGTTACGCATACCGATCCACCGCCTTTCTCCACGAGCAATCTTGTTAGACATAGGGGAGGGGGTTGGTTTGGAAAAGGGCTATGGGTAGTCAAACTAAAACCTACCATCAGTCGTTGAAGTCTTGAAGACTGTTGATTTCAGCCTGGTTCTCAGGATTCTAAGTACTAATTGGCTGGAGACACCTAGTGATATGGTTCGAAATCGTTCTTCACAGCGCGGATGCATTCATCACTCTTTGTGACCTCTCGTATCTATTAAATCCCCATATTTTTCCTTTGCACTAAGTCTTTCTCCCGTACATTTCTGTTCAACTCAGTCAGTTAGACAGTTTATTGTATAATTTATTGAAATGCTTTGAGTACAATTTGATCTATTGGTTGGTAGAAATGTAATGTGGTTATGTAGAATAAAACTTGAATTTCCAACAACTGATATCTGAACTCAAATGTTATCCGGTTTAATTTTCAGCTTTCACAATCTGACAGTATTATAAGATTTCTAATAGTCTAGTAAATATGCCTGGAACGAGTCGATGAGTTCTGTCATCAGTGAAGAGGATATTTGTGCGTCGGTGGCACAGCGGTTAGGGTTCTCGCCAATCATGCACATTGTCCGGGGTTCGATCCCCTGCCGACGCACACGTGATATCAATGGTCGGCCTGCAAAATTTGGGCTGCCGATATCACATGCTGAAAATTCCATACTTATACCAAAAATATGGTGTGGAATCAACCTATAATCAGGAATAAAATAAATACAGTCAGTTCCTTTGATTAGTTTGAACCGAGTGAAAACGAACATATTTTTACAGGATAGAAGAAGAGTTCATGTTGTTTTTAAAATTTCACATCTCTTCATCAGCTGCTAACAGCTTAGAATGGCCTAAGTTATCAATAAATACAAAAATATGTAGCTTACTTCGAAAATCAAACGGTGTAGTTGTGGAAGAAGAGATACGAATACAAGGACGTTAAATAATCTAATATAACCAGAGTTTTCAGAGGCTGTACAGTCGTATTTATACTTACAAAAATATATAGTGGTCTATTATTGAGTAATAGGGGGTAACATAATTGATATAGTTACTCAGAAGTGGCTTTAGAAGTAAAAATAAAGGTTGTAAATTACGTAGTAGTGAACGGCACAAAGGAAGAAAGCGTTCGAAATTTGACAAGGTTAAAAATTGCTATTGAGTGAGAAGAAAGGTAGTTGAGTGTTAATTTAACAAGTGCGGATAGGGTGTGAAAATGTACAAAAGGAGAATATGAGAGTGATAATAACGCTCACTTTCCAAACGTATCTCTGAACATTATCCGGCATGGTTAGCAAAGGGACAATGTAAGACAATTACTAGCTCAATTCTCGAGCATTTGGTGAAGCCACGTAGCTCCACCAGAGTCGTCTTTCAAGACCATCTACAGAGTGAAGCCAAATAGTACAAAGGACGTCAGGTTTCGGCTTTTGTGTATGGTGGAGGTGTTGGCAATTCATCAATACAACCCTGAACTCTGTATACAGAAAAAGTTTGTCCAGTCTCTTATTCTACCTTGGTCTTAACCTGTTCACTAATCGTTCCTTGTAAATAAAAAACTTCTGGTTTTTTCTTTTCATTTTAATTTTACTTCTAGTTTGCTGTAATAATTAATTCACTCTTTTCACATCCCCTTCACACTTGTTAAATTGACACTCAAATACCTTTATTCTCACTCAATAGCAATTTTAACCTAATCAAATTTCTATCTTTGTTCCGTTGAGTACCACGTAATTTACAACTTTTAATTTTCACTTCTAAAGCCACTTCCGAGTAATTATATCAATGACCAGAGTTTATTCATACATTATGGGATGAAACGTCCAAGAGAAGAGGGTGAGAGAAGAAAGCAGTTTTTTGTTTACCTGATATACAAAGGTTAAGGAACATCAACAAGCATCGAAAAAGAAGAACCAAAAATGCATTGAAAAACCTATTTCACACCACTAGATTGATTCCTATTTATAACACGAAGTACTCACTAATACAGTCCTAAGTATATAAGTGTTCTGCTTATGTCAACTCGAACTGCATTCAACGATTCACATACATTTTGTGATAGAGAATATGTACGAAGCACTAAGAGTATATTTTCTCAGTATATCTCCAGCAATCTTGAAATGGAAAATAAGAGTTTCCGAATCTCCTGATTTACATGGGGCGTCATGAGCTGACATCGATTAGAGAACCATTGGAAAAATAAGGTGTACTGGGCGATTGTTTCGTCATAGCTGTCGATGACCTTGCCTTGTCGTAACTGGAAGTTCCTGGGTCCGAGTCCCGTAGTAGGTACGTGCTGATGAAGAGTCCCAGAGTAGGGCGAAACAGCTGTCCAGTACCCGCAGGTTGTTCAATGGTACTCTAACCGATATCAGCTCATAATGGAATCCTGTAATCAAATTGATTTATTCAGGCTTACATTTACCATCCGATTCATTGGTTTATTTAAGAAATAAATCGATTTATTTCTTTGAGAACAGACAGTTCAGCCAAGAGTATCTTTCCGGTGAATTCATTCACGTAGCTGTACAATCGCAATTATACATAATTATTTTTGTGTGTATATATTAGCCGTGTCAGACAAGAATAAAATTACTTGAGGTTATTGTTTACGTCACCAAAATGTTTCAAAAAATGTGATGAATAATCGAATTGTAACTAGAGTGGTGGCGGGTGAGTGAAGATTAGTAAGTCTTGGCTAGGGTTACGTAATATGAAAGATACCCAGAAAACTAGGATGATAATGAAAGAGCACGGAGACAAATGTGTCAAACAAATTATGCAATAGGTAGATAGAGTAAATAGAGGGTTATTTAAGAAATAAGATGTTACTAAAATGTCACTCGAAAAAAAATCACAATAGGTTTTGGTAACGAAATAGCCAAACTTGGAATCATACCCAAGGTAAAAGGAGAGGATGAAGAAGTTTCTTCTGTGTACGTAAATCAGGGTTTTCCATCCGAATCACTTAGGCCTCAGCAATGCAAAGTATACGGAAGCTTACCGTTTTTGGGAGGCTTCTTTTGACTTTGAATGAATTCTCTTTACATATTGAGTGACTAGGGTTGAATATACGTTCAGTTATAGCACTTCTTATTCATCCCCCTATTCGTAGGCAAACACGATAATGTTCTTTGACTCTTTTAGATAAAACACGCATCGAAAAACTTATATATCTGACTCCACATGAGCAATTAAACTGGTAGATACACAGAGAAGTGTTTAAATGCGATAGTTCACCTTTAGAGTGATTGAAGAACAATGGGCGGCTTGAGAATACCAATCGTAATGTGCGTCGGTGGCACAGCGGTAGTGTGCTCGCCGACCACGCAGGTGGTTCGGGGTTCGATCTCCAGCTACCGACGCACTCTTTTACCCCGCTGAGCCAGTAGTAAGACTGGTAAAGAGGAAAAGTTGGGCATTAGGCTAGCAACCCCATCCTGTAAAAAATAATCACCACTGCTACAGAAACTTCAAGCCTCTAGTTTGAAGCCCTATGTTCCACTGGGAACGTGAAGGAACAAAAAACAATTTAGCAAGCAGCACAGAAAGTTTCTTTCAAGGCATTAGATATTCTCCTCTTTAGGCTGTCAAATAGTTGTCTCTGCAGTAGAGTTTTTTCTTTTTTGGCTACATAAAGCATTCTCGGGGATGTCATTTCATTTCACTCTGTATGTATATGTATATATGCGCCTTTTTGGTTCAACAGTCTGATATAAATAAATACTCGTAAAAAACATTTTATGTCTAGGGTCTATTGTCGTGCATGTGTTGTTCTTTCATAGGAGTGTGATAAACTACATCAATCAGTTCGGTATGATATTTATTTTGTAGTCCTAAGGCTTTATGAATTTAACAGTTTGCGTCAGCGTATCTAGTACGACTAATGATGGAAACGGTTTCAAATGAAAATATTTCTTTTATTACCTGATGTGTGTGTGTATACACACTAGTTTAACAGTATGGTAAAGATTTTCGAAGTAAAAGTTATCATTTACGTAATCATTAAAATGAAGCATCCCTTACAGAATTAATTTTGAATAAAAGCAATTGTAGAAAAATAACGGTGAAGTATCATGAACTTTGTTCTGTCGACAAGAGAAATATTATTCATAAAAGTTATCAATAAGAAACAAAATACGAATTTAAATTGGCTTAACAGTATTAATTTTCAAGTATTGGTTTTTGTAGGGATTTTGTTTGATTGGATGGAAGATTTCATCATGAGCTGATATCAGTTAGTGAACCACTGGAAAACCTGGGAGTACTGGACAGCTTTTTCGTCCTAGTTTGGGACTCTTCATCACCACGCACCCACCGCCAGGGTTCGAACCCAGGACCTTCTGGTTACAAGGCGAGCTCGTAGACCATTGAGTCACTGGGACCTGATCCATGCAATCAAACAAAATCCCTACAAAACCAATTCTTGAAAATTAATCTGATGCTCACTAGCGACTGGCCTTATTCAGGCAGTTAATCCGGGGTTCTAGTGGGAAGCCGTGACCAGTGGGGTACAGCAGGTTGAAGATGAGGCAGTAACTCATCGAAGAAGACATTGCAAAATGGTCGCGCTATGTCATGAATTGGCAGAGGTTAGAATTCAAGGACCATTGGATCGGGTCCCAGTGGCTCAAT